TTTTTCCACCGGTAAACCCATCCCCTTCACCATCTTTATTTCATAAAAGTTATTTGTTATACGAGTTATCAACCGGCATCAACTCCTTCATCGACTCACATAACTAATCGAAACACTTTTCTAGAAAATGATATTCGGCTTTTAGGTTAAACATTCGAGTAACTCGTTCACAATTGTGAATGCTCACCACAACCAGGCTAAATCTCTCTACGTGATGCATTCAACATATCATAAAAATGTTGGACGGATTAAGGGATGGACCAACTGCATCTATTTACCATACTTTGATATGGGTTTTGGGGCTCACTAGAACTACCTTCGCCTATATAAAAATTTTCCGAAACATGCTAACTCCTAGAATTTTCGGATGTTATGTAGGCTTCAAATTCACCATAATGCATCCAATTATAATATCCTAGCACAAAACCTTGACGGCACAAATGATATTTGACCATGTCAATCTCTTCATAATTTCGGTTTTGACACTTACTAAAATTACAAGGACACCTAATTTTGGTTTTGTCCATACATTCGGGATTGCTTAATAGCAAAAGTTAAAAATTGCTCTACACCTCGACAAATTCATCATTTAACAATCCATTAACTAAGCTAAAATTCATCCATTGTTGACCGAGTTTCATTTTTTAAATTACTACAAAAATAACAAAACCATTGCCAATAATTGCTTATCATCATTTCGAATTATTTTAAACAAATATTAAACACATATATTAGTTATATAATTATCTCTAATTAGTTATGAATTTTGTTTTCAAAATTTACTTCTTATTTAAATAATTATATAAAAAATGATTACATTTTTTAATAAATACTGAATTTCGAATATTCAATTACTTTTTGTGTAATTTTTTAACATTTTCAACCTTAGGTTCAATATATAATAACGTTAACCTAACCTAAACAAAACAATTAACCTAATTTAAACTACCTTAAGTAATTTAAGGTAATTACATTATCATTTTCACTTAAAATACATGAAATTTTATACTTTTTTAATCGAAATACGTTAAATTACATTATGAACTAAATAATTTATGAAAACATTCAACTAAAATATTTATTTAATTCTATTAATTATCTAAATATTTATATAATTTAACATTTTTAAAGTTATTTAAGTAATTACATTATCATTTTCACTTAAAATACATAAAATTTTATACTTTATGAACCAATAAAACGTTAATTTACATTATCACCTAAATAATTTTTAAAAATGTTCAAATAAAAGATTTATTTAATTCTATTAATTAATTAAATATTTATAAAATTTTTAATGTTTATTTTAATTTTTTAATTATATTTTTTCAATTGTTTTTCAAACCGATCAAATCATTATACATGTTATATTATTTTAATTTTAATAATTAAATTAATAAAATTACATATAAAATTTACATTCAAATTTACTAAACTACGTCAAAAAGAATATAATTTCAAAATTAAATTTAAACAAACAACTAAGCAAATTTACCTATAACACTAAAAACAAATAAATATATAATTAATTCAATTAATCATACTAACAATTTAAGATTAAATAATTAAATTTTAATCCGACAACTAAAAATTAAAAAAATTTTATATTTTTAAGCTTTACGTTAACATACAAATTAACCTAACAATTAAAATAACAATAAACTAAAACTTAACAAAGTAAATCTAACAGCTTATAAAAATAAAATAACAACTAACAAATTTAAAGTACTACATACAAATTAACATAATAAGGTAATTAACAACATTCAAATAATTAATAAACTAATAAATAACAAAATTTAACTAAAAATATATAACATTTATCTAACTTAAAAAAAATATAAAAGTTAGAAAAAGAAAGTTTTACCCGACGGATCAAGTATATAGAACACAGATTTGATCCGATTTTAAAGGAGAAAGATATCCCTTACTTTGTTGATTGCTTTGGAAAAAAATTTAGTGGCATGAGTGGTCGTTTTTTGATCGACGTCGAAAAAGGAGGTGTAGTGTAGGTGAGGGAAACAAATGACGAAGAAAGAGGGAGGTCTGGTATATATAAGGAAAGTAGCGATGGGCCCGAATCCGTTACTATTCCGTCACTATTTTGGGAGGAAATTTTCCCCCAAAATAGCGATGGATGCGTCCGTCGCTGATTGGGGGGGGAACTAGTCCGTCGTTGATTAGCGACGGACTAGCCGTCCATCGCTAATTAGAGACAGAATGGCCTTCCGTCGCTAGCTCTCGGAACATTCGGGGAAATTCCCCTCCGAGAGCTAGCGACGGACTAAATTCGATCGCTAATGTTTTATTTAGCGATCGAATTTTTGTCACTAATCCGTCATTGATTATGATACTTTTTTTCACATCTTATTTAGCAACGGATTTTTAACCGTCGCTAAGTATCTCTCGTTAATCCGTCACTAAACCGTTGCAAAAAATATTATTTTATAATCCGTCGCTAATTCATTTTTTTCTGGTAGTGCCTAGCAAGAATGCATTTTTTCATTCTGAAAATGTTTCCAAATGACTCAGCGTTCCATGTTTGGACAGCTTCAACAAACTTCTGTTTTGCCCTATTGAATGGTACTGTAGGGTTCCAGCTTTCCTTAATTAGATCACAGAAGTCCAGACTTGTCAACCAAGCTGCTTGGAATCTAAATTTTCTATGATTCTAGGCTGGCACAACTCTACTGTCAAGCTGCAAAAGAAGTGGTCGATGATCAAACTTGAGTCTTGGTAAATGGTGTATTACTGCATTAGGAAATTTTAGTTGCCGATCAATGTTATAGATAACCTATCTAGGCGTTCATGAATCGGTCCCCTTTTTCCATTTGTGTAAAGGACCTGTAAACTCCAAATGCAAAAACCCACAATCATTCAAACAAGACGAAAAAGCATAGCTGTTATACACATTGAAACGACATCCACCTTTCTTCTTTGCTCGAAACATCATAGCCTTAAAATTAATGATCCACCTAATAACCATGGTTCAGACACTTGGGCAGCAATATCCCGCAAATCCTGCCAAAGCTTAGTGCGTATGTGACCCTTAGGATTTGCATAAATAGCCGATAGGAGGAATTGCTCATTCCCCCAATGAACTTTGTTATGCATACTTTGATGAGTGCTTATAAGCAAATCAATCGAAACATGACTGTCATTCCAAAAAAGCCAAATGCCACCTGAAAACTCTTGAGCTTCAATCCTAAGTGAGCGGGAGAACCCAAGCCTCTTCAAAACGAAATCTGCCCTCTGCCCTGGCTCCACTAATCCGAGGCTCAAAAATAGCTAGTAATTTTGGTTTGTATCTTCTGATTAAATCCCCACAAACAGCTCGAAACAATCTATTTGCAAGTTAAGGGTCTCAATTTAGGCGAATGTCCGTAGATATTGGTGCATGTGCATTCATTCCTAGTGGTGGTATTGATACTCTTCGAAACCATGGCTTCATTAAACGGTTATCTTTTGTGATCAGCCCGAAGAGATGGGAAGAGAGTCTTTCTGTGGCTGGTTCTATATGACTGTATGAGGTTCCCTTGGGCGTGAAGTCCCTTCGTGATCGGGAGTGAACCCTGCCTAATTATGTATCGGTGTTAGATGTCCTTTCAGTTTGAATGGAGGACGTGTGTTGTAGAACCGATTACACAGGTATATCATGAACGACATAAACATTTCGTATAGATTTGGAGAACAAAACTTTTGCATGGTGCATGGTTTCTAAAGCCAACATTAATATTCTCACATGAATCGAATCTAGCACAAATGAATTACAAATTTTTGCTTTTACTTTGCATGCAGAGAATTAGGGTTCGTTCGATATTATTTATATTTTATAGTTTCTGTTTTCAATTTTTTTTTTTTTTGAAAAAAAAAACTGGTTTGTTTTTTAATTTTATTTTTTAAATAATTAATACAACTAATAACCACTATCACAAAATTTGAAGACCATTATGTTTGGCTTAATTTCAAAAAATTAATATTAAATTTTATTGAAATATTATGGCATGGCGTATTTATTTACCACCAGCTAACTATTCAAGTAATTTACCTTTTTGCCTCTTGACTAAAAAGTGGTAATTTTAATCTTAAAATTAATGGAGTTATTTTAAAATTTGTTTTTGACCATTGACTACCTTAACACCCATTCTAGAAAACATATTGCAAGGGAAAGAATATAAAACTTATCGAATTTGACTGCATACCAAGTCTTGATGAACAACCGAGTTTTGTCTGACTTCTTACCTTTTCAGTTCATGCACTTCTATTTTCTGCTATATCAGCCTTTTTCGCCCAAGTTTCTATGAAGCTGGCTTAGTATTGAATGAGAAAGCCTAATGACTAAATAAAGTTTAATTAAATTTATTTATTTATTTATTTGATAGACAAACTTTTCCTTCTCGATTAAAGTTCAGGTGGCAGAAAAGAAAAAAGATAAATCAAATAGCTTGATAATTGGTTCCAATTTCAAACGGCAACCCGAAAAAGGCACTGTTCCAGTTGGTCATGATTTCCTTGTTTGTCTCACACGCATGTAGAACCCATATTTTGGACTTTCAAATTGCGAAATTCATAGGCCTGCCGTTGTTTTCTTGGACACATCTTGCCTGGCATAGTTCCTGACATGCAGGAACAATTTTCTTAGAATAATAGATGCATCAATTCAGTACAACTTAGGTTCAGTATCAGGTTGTTTTCTTAAAGAATTTCAACTAGATTTTCCTGTGATCACAAAGTCAGTGAAGAAAAGTCAACATTAATTGTAATTAATTCCCTATTTATGTTGAAATGTCACTTTTAGATTCTCCTTTGTCTTTGTCCAGTGATTTCCTTAGTAATTCTAGCTTGAGATTTTGGTCTTAAAGGCAGCTTGCTATACGCAATATATATATATATATATATATATATATACTTGAACTAGAATCTAGGTCCAGGAAAAGGTGGACAAAATGCTCACCTGTAAGCATCTCCCGCTCTTCTTCTTCTTCTTATTCTTCCTCTTTATGCAATATTCTTTGTCAAATGGAACGTCTAACGTACCGAAAAGCAAAACTAACAAGCTGAGTTTAGGAGCTATAGTAGATTACAGCTCTCGTGCTGGGAAAGAAGAAAAAGTCGCTATTGAGATGGCAATCCAGGATTTTTATGCTAACAAAAGCCAGCCGGGTCCCATTCTACTTGTGAAAGACTCTCGTGGGGATCCTTTCCGAGCAGCCTTTTCTGGTAAGAACTTAATTTTCTCCATCAATTGCTGAAAATGGCAGTATGTTTTTTTCTTATAAGCTAGTAGACCATAATATACCATCAATTTGGAGACCAAATTAGAGAAAATTAAAGAGCCCAAAAGATGCTGAAAAGGTATTAAAACATAGGTATTAAAACAGGAACCCAAGAATACGAGCTTGCTAAGAAAAAGGCAAAGCTAACTATCAATGGCACTTAAGTAACAATAGCTCAAAAATTCCTAAAAGTGAACTTGTTCTTGGTTAGCTTGGCTAGCATTAATTCCAAAAACAAGAGCTACAAAATTTAACTTTTTTTTATTTAATTTTTTTTATTAAATGATTTCAAGTTGGATTGATTTCAATTTACGTTAAGAGTCTAGTTTTTTTCTTTGAGATTTTGATTGAATCAATGTCTCATCCTGAATTTTCAATCACGAATCAATTATCCCTTTCATAATCTACAAACGTTACTAAATTTAATGGAACAAAGGTTTTTTTGGTCTACTAAACTTTTAAAATTTGATCCAACAATATTTGATAAAATCAAAATTGATCTAAGGGTATGATACAGAATTTACCTGAACAAATTTAAATGTTATAAATAAAATAATTATATACTCACATGCGATTGACTCTTGTTCCAATTTATCGGTCATATTTTGAAGGGGGAAAAAAACAAGTAAATGCACTTAATGATTATATTGATTTCAATAGGTACACTCTTATTATTTATCTCTATGTATTTATTAAGTTTTTTTTTTTTAATTCCATGTTTCTATTTTATGAGATGAAAAAATGCGATTACATCAATTTAACATAAATGGTTATTTATTCAATAATTTTTTTATTACTAATGACATAATTTTCTTACGGTTTGAATTTTCTTTTTACATTTATGTTTTAATTTTAAATATATTTTATTTCTTTTTTAAATAATTTTTAAATATAAATTGTTCAAATCAAATTATTTCCCCCCTTGTAATGGAAATATGAAATTTAATTTGATCAAATGATGCCAAGAACATTCTATTTGATCGAATTTAGAGGTTTATGGACGTTAAAAAAAAAAAAAAACAATTCGTTAGATTTTGCAATACTTTCAAACATAAGAGCTAAAAAATTTAGTGGAGACATTAAATATTTAATAGAAACCTCAACAGAAAATTTTGGATCTTGGTTTGAAATTAACCATATATTTAATGTTTGGTAAAGTCACCCTTAATTATAAACTGCCAAACCTTTTTTTTTTTTTTTGAATTTTAATTTATTTTATGTATTTCTAGGAAATGGTTTCAAAATTAACAAAATAGAATTTTTGGAAAAATACAAGTCAACAAAAATCAATAAATCAGAGTTATCAGAACCAGACCAGACCAGTCAATCCAATCGATAAACTGGACATTAAATCAATTTAGTTCTCTAATTAGATTGTCCAAACAGTTTAAACCGACATATTATATAGATGACAAGTCATTGGTCAAAGGAGACATGTCAGTCACTTAGATGGAAAATAAGGGAAGAAGAAAAGGAAAATATGCATGGTGGCTTAAGGAGTCGAACTCCAAACCTTCTATTCATGAATGCATACCGACAAGTTATTAAGGGTCTTTTTGTAAATTTAATCGATATACACATTAAATAATTATAACTTATGCCAAATAGGTGATCCATCGGACCGTCGATCTGACAGTTTAACGAAAAATTATGATTATTTAATGTGTCGGTTTGTAATCTGTTTTATAATTAACTTTAATAAAGTTGGTTTGTAATCTGTTTCCTAGTGATTTGTTGTCTTTATAATCATATTTGTGAGAGGTGGAGTTAGGGAAACTCTGGATCCGTTTCCACAAAGCAATCAAATTGAGCTATAAGCGTTTTTGTTTTGTTTTTTGTTTTTTTTTTTTTTTTTTGGCAAAACTGTATTTTTATTAATTAATAAAAAAGTCTCTTTATTATTACTTAAGTCAATTATTATTATTATTATTATTGTATTTTTGATTTTTACCAATTGAGTATAACTTATTAAATAAAAAAATACTACTTCATATGAAAAAGAATGGGGATAATGGATGATATTAGCCGAAATACAAGAAAAATTTATAATAATGACTTAAATAGAAAAAAAAAAAAGACTACTCATTGATTGAAATACATTTTCAATTTTAATAAATTGTACTCGATTGAATGAAATAAAAAATTTAAAAACTCTTCTGAGTTAATCGGTAATAGAATTTTTTTTAATAAATTGATAAAAATCAAAATATAAATAATAAATTTACGAAATTTTTGTCTTAACCACGTTATTCATGATCAAAGTTGGGAAATCTCACAATTATAACAAAGCATATAGACAAGCTATATTCTAAACATGGGAAATAATAAATGAGCAACATCACATATATTAGGCAAAAAACAAAAAAACAAAAAAACAAAAAAACAAAAACTTAAAATGTATGGGCTAGATAATGATTTATTATTTTTTTTCTAATGAAGGACCACTTTTGGAAACAATGAAAAATACAGGTACCCTTAATCTCATTGACACGAAAAGTTACTTTTATCTTGAAACGGAATGGTCTTAATTCCTGAATCAAACACCCCCTTTCTTCTTCCTTCCCATTGAACACCCGCCAAATTCTACAGTACACAACGCACCAAAAGTATCAAAATAAATAAATAAATCTACAAAAATGTAGGGCAATTAACTCAAAAAATTAATCATATTGGTGGGAAGGTGCACATTTTAGCTGGAAGTTGGAGCAGATGGCTTCAGTTTCTTGCTTATGCTGTCTGGTCTCCTTAAGGTACATTTAAGCAAATAAAATATTTGATATAAGATATTAGTTCTGTTTTTTTTTTCCTTGTTGAATGGTCAAGAATGCAAGTGGGTAGTCATTATATTTATGTTTTTCACTACGATATTTATCGAAGTTTTTATCTTTTTCGTGGGACTTCAGGTTTTTGAAGCAATTAATGATTTTCGGACTGTTAATGATATATCAGTGATTTTCCTCTTAGAAAGTTTTTTTCCCCTGTTGTTTTAATGAATTGGGCAAGTGGGTGTTGTTGTGTTGATGGGTATTAATGCAATTGAAATTGAAGTAGACCACAAAACAGTTGAAGTGAGATTGGATCATGAATGTGGTTTTGGAGATGGGTTTGTTGGTTGCTAACAAATGTTCAAAAAGTAGGAAAAAAGTTGTCTTAAAAAACATTAAAAATTAGATCTAATAAGGTTTAAGGACATTGCTGTTCCTGATTCACTTCCTGCTTAACTCTTTTGGAAGCACAAATAATCAAGTAGCTTATAAATAAAGTTACAAACTTTATTACAGCTAGGACCCTTATCAGAAGGCAACATGTACAAGCTATTGTTGGCCTGGGAACATTGCAGGAGTCTGCCTTTGTTGCTGAGCTTGGCAACAAAACTTTGGTCCCTATTGTTTCTTTGGCGAATGAGGTTCCGTTTTGGGCCCATTTTCATTGGCCTTTTATGGTTAATGCGGCACGCAGCCAGTCTGCACAAATGAAAGTTGTGGCTTTTATAATTCAGAGTTGGCGATGGCGCAGAGTGAACATCATTTACGAAGACATCAGTTCTGCTGTTACTAGTGTTATTCCATATCTTCTCAACTCTCTTCGTGATGTGAACTCTGAGATTAGCCAAATTTTGGCTCTGCCTCCTTTAACTTCATACAATTCTTTGTCTAAAGAATTAAAGCGTCTTAAAAGTGGGCAATGCAGAGTTTTCATTGTCCATACTTCCTTAGCAACAGCCACAAGTATCTTTGGGGAAGCCAAGAATTTGGGGATGATGGAAAAAGGGTTTGTGTGGATCACCACCACAGCTACTTCAAATCTCATAGATACACTAAATGAGTCTCTAATTTCTTCAATGCAAGGTGTCCTGGGAGTCAAGAGCTACTTTTCCAATTCCAGTGAGCAGTTTCATGATTTTCAGTCCAGATTTCAGATTATGTTTCATTCACAGTATCCTGATGAACCACATCCAGAACCAGGGATTTATGCCTTGCAGGCCTATGATGCTATGTCAGCTGTGGCACTTGCAATGGAGAGTATGTCAAATTGGAAAACTTCTCCCACAGTTTCAATGACAGGGCAGGAGCTCTTAAGAATGATATTGAAAAGCAACTTCAAGGGGTTAACTGGTCAGGTTTATTTTAAAGATGGCATCTTGAACCCAGCGCATATTTTTGGCATAGTTAATGTTGTTGGGAAAAGTTATAGAGAACTCGGGTACTGGATCGAGGAAGGGGGCTTCTCTCACAGTGTTGGTGTGCATAATAATTACAATACGTCAATGAGGGCTCTAGGACAAGTATTTTGGCCAGGAGGTCCTTGGGCGGTCCATGGAGGATGGGCTGCACCAACAAGTTCCAAGCCGCTACAAATAGGGGTACCAATGGGAGATACCCATAAGGAATTTGTGGATGCTACATATGATGTTCCTGGGGGCACTCTGAATGTTACAGGTTTTACTATTGATGTTTTCAAAGCCACACTCAAGTTGTTACCCTATCGCCTGCCATATAATTTCACTCCGTATAAGTTAGGCACCTATGATTCCATGGTGCAGCAAGTTGATCTGCAGGTGAGGATTCTCTAGTTAACTTCTTTTTTCTGGTTAATGGTACTGATTTTTTGAAAAAATTTAGATAGAAAAAAAGGCTGTTCCTTTCCATGCTAGAAAATATTTGAACTCATTTATAGTATTTATGCTAGCTTATGGTTATATAGCTCAAAAGTACGGTTACATAAAGAGTTCTTATAGCAACCTTAACCATATCAAATATGCAAAAATCTCCCTGATTTAAGTAGAATTCATTGATGAATTCCTCTAAAAGCTTTGCTAAATTAATCGCTTGTTGTATTTCAAATGCTCAATCCTTCTATTATAGTCAAAGATAACATTACTTTGTCAAAGCAGAAGAGATCACTTCTTTAAAGGTCCACTTTCATGCACTGTATGTATTTGCCAATCTGGAAGGTTCTACTTCTTCCACGACAACTAACTGGTACACTCTGTTGGAGAAGACTTTTGATGCAGTAGTAGCAGACACAGCCATTGTGGCCAATCGTTGCGCATATGTAGAGTTCTCTCAACCATACACTGATTATGGGGTCCAGATGTTAGTGCACATCAAACATAAGAGATCAGATAGTGCTTGGTTGTTCAAAAAGCCATTTACAAAATCATTGTGTATGTGCATACTGGCCATCAACATCTATAATGGATTTGTTGTTTGGTTGATTGAGCGGAAGAATCATAATCCAGATTTTAGTGGACCTATATTGAAGCAAATAGGAACCATGTTGCCATCAGCTTTCATTACGCTATTTTCACTAAAGGGTAAATAGCCATTTCCTTTTCACTTATAATCTCTTCTTTTAACCAAAACACCGATAGAAATTTTTACATTTTGGTGACTTGACACACACACAGAAACATGTTCATGCATGCCTTTGCTATTAACTGCTGACCACATGTTCAGAATCTTGGCCTCTTACTGAATTGAACCTGCTGGCATGTTTATAATTCTTGGGAATGTGAGATTAGTTTCATTTCATTATATTCTTATGAACATGCTATTATTGTGTGCACAGGATTCTCTTTCCTGAGGATTTTCTTTTTCATTTCTGGTTAATTAGGTGATGGATTGCACAGCAATTGGTCTCGGATGGTGATGGCAGCTTGGCTTTTTGTTGCACTAGTCATCACTCAAAGTTTCACTGCAAGTCTAACATCTTTACTTACAATTCAACAACTTGATCAGAATCCAGTTGATGTTGAGACACTAAAGAACAGTGGAGCGAAAGTTGGGTGTGATGGAAGCTCCTTTGTTGTGCAATATCTGGAAACGGTAATTGGTTTCCAACGAGAAAATATTGTAGGAATGCATGCAGGAGATGACTATGCTCAAGCCCTTGTTAGTGGAAAGATAGCTGCAGCATTTCTTGAGGTTCCATATGTCAAAGTTCTTCTTGCCAAAAACTGCAAGGGATTCGCAACTTCAGGACCGACATACAAAGTTGGAGGTTTTGGATTTGTAAGTATCCTTTGGCCTATGAAGCTTCCACATTTTTCTAAATGTCATCCTACTAGAGTAACCCAAGGAATCCTTCTGAGTTCTGAATGCACTTTAAGGAAGCAAGACTAGTTGAAATTTCCCCCCATATCTGCATAAAAGTTGCAATGAACCTTCCATAAGGCCATGCTGGAATTAAATGATCAGCGTTTACCTGTAAAGTTTGTCCTAGAGCAAGCATAAAAATTCAATTTTGTCAAATATTTGCCCAAAATTCATGGTCATGAGTATATGCTGCATTGAGTTCAACTTTACAATTGTTCAGGCCTTCTATGTATCATGCCACAGGTTTTCCCAAGGAATTCTCCATATCTTCCTGACATTTCCCAAGCAGTTGTGAGAGTAGCAGAAACAGGAAAACTAAAAAAGCTTGAACATGCTTTGATCTCCTCGTACAAGTGCTCAGATTCAAATTTTAATGATGATCATCGAAGCCTTGGGCTTACAAGCTTCATGGGTCTCTTTCTGATTACAGTAGGAACATCTTCAATTGCCCTTTTGGTTTTCTTGATTTCTTATATTCGCAAAATCTTGTACATTCATTGGAACTTCAGAACTAGACAACAACCACGACAACAGCAATGGGACTTACTACAATCGCAGCAGCATGATCCCCAAGCAGACGAACACTGGCTATTTTCTTCTGAAATGGAAAATCAAGGTCACTGGCATTAGGTGTGTGTTTTTCATTCTGAACTAAGATTAAACGCTTTTAGGTTTTCTGCAGCTCAATTTTATCCTCAAAATTTCTTTCTCTGAACTTATGTATTCTGATACAGGTTTTCTCAGGATGGATCAATGGATGGGGCGATGACAGATGATGTGATCATAGCAGAAGAAGGTGTTGATCAGCAAGGGAATTAATCACTGATTGGGAACTACTCACGTGTGTGATAAGAATAAGAGTAGTTAAGTGGTGCAGTTGGTTAAGACCGTTAGTTCTGTTAGTGTTGTTACTAGTTGGGAGGGAAAGTGCGTCAGGCTTTTAGCCGAGCTGGGATGGCAGATACTTGTATAACAAGAATCATGAGTACTATGTATTCTGGATCTAATGACAAACTTGGTGTCTTGATGCCGACAATTAAGTTGAATTTTTCTTAACTCTTTGAACTCAGCTTTTTTTATACTAGTTCTGACATTCTAAATTATCGAGTTGAAAATAATTATATGAAAATAAAATTTTATATTTGTAGGAAAATATGAGACTCTTTTCATAGTTAAAAAAAGAAGAAGGAAAAATAGTATTTTTAATTAAAAATTTTGACAACCACCTCGTTAATGTAGCTATTTTTATCTTATGTATATAAATGTTTAATTGGTTGGGTTTTACAGCACAACAATAGCAAGATGTAAGTCTTAAATGAACCTCGTTTGTGAATAGAGTTGAACAAATTTTGGTCAGATTATCTAATCATTCTTTATATATATATATATATATATATATTATGCTATTTCAGCAATCTTCATCAAATTTCTGTGAAGGTACCATATATAGTATACTAAATAAAAATATTCCTAGACAGATTCAATGAATTAGAGATTTTATTTCAATTAATTTATTGCCTCAACCAACCATTTATGACTGCGACATAAATTTCTCTTGTGATGAGACGAAATATTGTTATGGTCTAAAAGAATTGAATATTATTAGTGACATGCAACGAAGTTGCCATAACTTTATTATAAGATTCAAAACTACAGACAAATTAAATTGAAACCATATAGAAGTCATGTTATTGGTTTGTTGATCGTATCTGCCGTTCCTGTAATTGTATTTCGAGCTTATACTTGTTAACCTCATTGATAAAATCTACGATCCATTTATCCTATTCATTATAAATAAATAAATAAGTAAATAGAGCGTTGCCATCAACTTCCATATGGCCATCGTGATAATCCAAGTCTGTTGAAGTACTGAGAAAATTCTTAGAAGCTTACTTCTCTTATTATTTAACTATTCCTTCTGCATTAATTTGCCTCCCAAGTTTGTTGTGTGTAAACACACACACATGGGCTCCTACATTTCAGCCATAATCTATCCTAGTCTAGAAATTAAGCATGATAAAATGATTCCATCTGCAAATCTCGTGGCCTTCTTGATCCTCTTTCTTCTATCATCTTTATTGACAGATGGAATGTCTAAAGTAGATGATCTAAAAGCTTTTGCCTTGGAAAACAAACTCATGAGTTTAGGTGGTATTGTAGATTGCACCACTCGTGCCGGGAAAGAAGAGAAAGTGGCTATGAAGATGGCAATCCAGGACTTCTACAGCAATGCTACCCAGCAGCCCAATCTATATGTCAAAGACTCTAAAGGGGATTCCATCCGAGCAGCCTCCTCTGGTGAGACCGACATGATCCTCTCTTTAAATTTGTGAAACTCTAAAATTTTGAAACACGGGAAACCAATTAAATTAACCATGCATGTATGGCTACCAAAGTAGACGTAATTAATACTAAGTAATGCTCTAGTTTAGGCATTCTGTACATCAAAAGTGGAAACATGCTGTGCTAGAAATCTTTGACAGCACCGTTTTAATCCAACAAAGTGGTACGTTAGCATCACATTCTTTCCTCTTTAAATGTGCATAGGATTCTAGAGATGGCCTCTTCGAGTTCTCATCTGTCCATGAATTCAGGCTTGAAGTAGCTGGCATTCATTTCAGTCTTTTAAGGCAAGGTGTCTTTTCATATTTGATAGCTTGAGGTAGAGACTAATATAAATTATATTTTGAAGTATTGTTTAATAATCAAAATTTTTATATTGAAATAGTATGTATCAGAGTTTTGATAATCTAATAGTCACGATTTCAAATTTCATTATTTTCACTTTTTATTCTAAGTAAAATTAAATTTAATATAAATTATATTCTAAAGCTTTACTTTTCAACTTAAGTTTTTAAGTTGAAATAATTCTTTAACGACTTATTAACTAAATTATACATTGACCGTTGATTGGTATCCTAACTTTAATCTTTTCAATTCGAGTATTATAACTAATTTTTGGTTTGTAATTAAGTTAGCCGATCCCATTGATTGAATCCTGAGCATGCGTTTCACATGTGATGTTGACATGACTCAGTAATTAAACAACATGTGAACAATTTGTTAGTAATATCTTTTTTTTTTTCCTAACTAACATGATTATGTAAAATTACAAAATCTCCCCCCCCCCCCACGCCATAAATTAAAACTAAAGATAGAAAGCTTTAGTATATATAAACTACAAAATAAATCATTCGTTCTTGATTAGGGGGAAAAAAAAAAAAAGTGCTTCTGAACTCTAAATTCATCTCTGTTGAACGTATGTTTATAACTTTTATAGCCAAGAATAAAACTGGCCTTGCCTAGCTTGTTGTTATCGCTTTGATTTGTTTTATGTTTTTCATGCATGCAGAGGAAGATACACAGAACTTAACGGCAGTGTATAAAAAAAGTAAATTAGAATAAAAAATACTTAGCTCAATCAATTTCGTTTTCTTTTCTCAGAATTTTAAATTCATTGTTTCATTTTAGAATTTGCGTTATGAGTTGCAATTACTTGTCTCAAAACTCAAATGAACTATTAAACACAGCAAAACATGATAGAGACACAAATACTGGCCCCAAGTTTTTTAAATTAGGTAATTAATTTCACAAAAGCTTTATTGTGTTTTTGGTAGTATGGCGCAATTAACTATTTTTTTGCAAAAATGAGTTTGGACTAAAAAAAAACAATCAAATTTAATGTTTATTCAACTAAAACACATTTTGAAAATCCTTTTCAAACGCAGCCTCTTTCATTCCTTTCATTTATTTATTTCGTCATAAATAGAGATCGGTCATTCCTTTAATTTATTTGTTTTGTCACAAATAGAGATTTTGCAGCACACATTAACGGTAATATATCAGAAAGTTACTGTTAATAGTTAGTAGCTATGAAATAAGGAAAAGAATCGTATTACAATGACAAACTAAATTAGCCATTACTACAAAAATAAAAAAATATTCTGATTTTTTTTTCTGGTAACGAGTCTTTTTTTAAATTCAAATACTCTAAAAAGAAGATTTGAATCTGTAATCTTTTATAAGTATAAGAAGCTCACTGTCACTAAACCAAAAGTTTATTGATTCATTCCTTTAATCTAATTGTTCTTCAAAATTACTTTTACATAGCTATATATATAGGATTAATGAGGTTCCGTCAAATTGAATAAACTGACATGTAAATTGTGAAACGAATCTATATAAATTGTTTAAAATTGGGTCAAATGAACAAACCGAACCAAATCAAATTTAAAAAAAAAAAAAAAATGAATTTGATTTAAATGAACCGTCAAACATGATGAAAATCTAAGTGATAATCCCTTTTTATAATAGTACTATTTTTCTGAAGACAAATATTCTATCCATGTGTTGCAGCTACAACCCTCATCAAAAAGAAAAATGTCGAAGCTATTATAGGCATGGGAACATCGCAAGAGGTTGTCCTTATTGCTGAGCTTGGCAACAGATTTGGAGTTCCTATCCTTTCACTGGCAAATGAAGTCCCAGTTTGGGCCTCTTTACGTTGGCCTTTTCTGATTAATGCAGCTCGCAGCCAGCTTTTGCAGATGAAAGCTATAGCAGCTATCGTTCAGAGTTGTCAATGGCGGAGAGTGAACATCATTTATGAGGACAATAAAGCTGAAAGTATCATACCACATCTCTTCACCGCTCTTCAAGAAGCAGATGCAGAAATCAATGAATTATTGCCTTTACCCCCCGAACCTCCATCCCTTTTCTTATCTGAGAGACTGATGTCTCTTAGAAACAGGCAGAGCCGGGTGTTCATTGTTCATACTAGCGCAACATTGGCGAAAAGCATATTCAGAGAAGCGAAGAAATTGGAAATGATGGAAGAAGAGTATGTCTGGATCACCACAGACTCCACAGCAAACTTTTTCGATACATTCAATACTTCAATCATTTCATCAATGCAAGGTGCCTTGGGAGTCAAAAGCTACATTGCCAATTCAAGTAAAAGAATTGCAGATTTTCGCTCAAGATTTCAGGTGATGTTCAGGTCCCAATTTCCTGAAGAGCAATTTGCAGAGCCAGGGATTTCTTCCTTGCAGGCCTATGATGCAATGTGGGCTGTTGTTGTTGCAACTGAGGGAAGACCAAGTGCGAAAAGGCTCAGAAATTCAACAAGTAATACTCCTGTAGCTTCAATGGGTGGAAGAAATTTGTTGGCTAGAATCTTAGCTTCTAAATTTGAGGGATTAACTGGTCCCATATATTTTAAAAACGGCATGTTGCATCCTGCAGCTCGTATCTTCAGCATAGTCAATGTTGTTGGGGTAAGTACTGAACTCGGGTATTGGACTGAGGAACATGGTTTCTCAAAAACTGTTGGTGCAAACAGCCATTACAACAAGTCCATAGGAGTTCTGAGACAGATCATTTGGCCAGGAGGACCATGGTCAGTTCCTCGAGGATGGGCATCAGCAGCAGGGGGAAAGAGACTGCGAATAGTAGTACCGTCAGGAAATAATCACAAAGAATTTGTAAATGTTTCATATGATGGTCCTGGGGGTAGTATAAGAGTTACAGGATTCGTAATTGATGTCTTCAACGCCACTCTCGCTCGTTTGCCCTATGCTTTGCCGTGTGATTTCATCGGCTATGATGGTCTCTATGAAACCTTAGTTTATCTAGTTTATAATCAGGTAAACTATATATATATATTGTTTTCTGTATCTTCTCTGTTCTTGTACTACGTATTGCTCAACTTCGAGAATAATTTTTAGCCTACAACTGACTTGGTGTCTTGTACCGGGGAAGACTTTTGATGCTGCAATCGGAGACACGGCCATTTTGGCCAACCGTAGCAAATTTGCAGAGTTCTCTCAACCTTTCACCGAGCCAGGTATCCAGATGGTGGTGTACGAGAATCCTAAGACAATAAATAAAGCTCGGTTGTTTATGAAGCCATTCACAGGAGCATTATGGATCAGCATCGCAGCCATTACTGTGTATAATGGATTTGTTGTATCAATGATTGAACGGAAGAAAGATAATCCAGATTTCAGAGGCTCTAGGCGGAAGCAAATTGGAACCATGCTTTCAACATCTTTCATTACACTTTTTTCACTTAAGGGTATAATCATTTCTTTCCTCACTTGTATCTATCAGAAGCATAATTTGAATGAATAAATCATCATGAACTTTAAATCAAACATATAGAATTTTTATTTATTTATTTATTTATTTTGCAGGCGAAGGATTGCATAGCAATTTGTCTCGGATGGTGATGGTTGCATGGCTTTTTCTAGCCTTGGTCACTAATCAAACTTTCACAGCTAATTTATCGTCCTTGATCACCCTTCAACAAATATCGTATGAGAGTCTTGTCACTATCGATACACTTCGGATGAGCAATGCAAAAGTAGGGTGTGATGCAGACTCCTTTGTAGGGGCATATTTGAGGAATGTCTTCAAAATTCAAGATGAAAATATTGTAGGAATACGAAACGAGGAAGAATATGCTACAGCTCTTGTCAATGGAAGTATAGGGGCTGCATTCCTTGAAATTCCATACATCAAGGCTTTCATGGCTAAACATTGCAAGGGCTTCACTGCTTCAGGACCGATATATAAAGTTGGAGGTTTTGGATTTGTGAGTTTTCATTCACCATTGGATACAAAATCACTTCATGTGTATATATATATTTCTTTGTACTCATCTTAATAATCTGACAGGTTTTCCCAAAGAATTCCCCATATATTCCTGACATTTCCCAAGCTGTCGTCAATATATCAGAGACGCTCATGGACATGCTTCAAATTTCTTTGAACAACTCCAAGTGCTCAGCTTCAAAGTCTGATCATGCAAGCATTGGAATTGCTCCCTTCATCGGACCATTTCTGGTTACATTTGGAACTTCCTCACTTGCTCTTTTTATTTTTTATTGCCTTCCATGCATTCCCCGCTTTAGACAGCATCAGCAACCAGAAGTGCAACAGTTGCAGCAGCACGATCCCAGGATTGATGAACAAATTCTATTTGCTTCGGAAATGGAAAACCAAGCTGGCTGGCAATAATTGTGTTTCGATAATATTTTTATTTTTGTAAATTAAAATAGAAACTATAGGATTTTTGGAGACATTTATTTCTTTCCCTAATAAGTCTACTCGTCTTGCAAATAATTAAGTACCCCTAGATAACAAGTGTTTCTATTTCATGGATCAATTGATCATCCTGGAACAATATTTTGATCATCTTTTTCCTTATCAGATATTGTTGGGGACTCCTTAATCTGTGTCATGTGTCAATTAAGAGAAATCTGATCAAAAGTTTATATGATGTAAGACTCTAAAAAGAAAGAACACTACAACTAATATTATTATACTCAGAAAGCTTAATAGGTAAAGGTAACAAATACAACTTCTATTAAACGATATACAAGTTCAAAGGACAAGCATATATGTTATATCCCTTTCACCGTGCATTTAGTGCACCTTGCATTTAGTACCGGGAATGTATCCGATTGTAATAGATTTATATTCAATTTATTTAATAAAATAGATCAAATTTTGAAAATGTAAATTTAAATTTGGATTTTAATAGATTTAGATCGGGTTGAAGTTTATCAAATTTATCACTTGATTTTTATAAAAAAACTTATGTTTACTATAATTAATATATTATTTGAATATAAAATATATTTCAATCACTCGTATATACAATAAATATATTGAGATAATATTTCATCTGTTCATTTTACAAAAAATTCAAAATACCATACAATTTAAAAGTATAAAATCAAATAATTTTAATAAAAATTTATCTTCAACAATCTAAGAAATATGATAAAACTCAAATAATAATAATAATAATAATAAATCATCTTTATTTCTTGTCTACATGATAGCAAAAATAGAGTGAAGAAAAATATAATAACACCAACTATTTAAAAAGATATATAAGTCAATTTAAAAAAATTTTCCCACCAAATTGAATTAAGAAAATGACAAAAAATATATATGTGATTTTTTTAAAACACAATCCTCACTGTAGAAAGATATGCATTATTTGAACTTTATAATAAATAAATCCTAAATTTTAAACTAGTTTCATATATATATATATATATATATATATATATATATATATATATATATATGTATTTAAATTTTTAATCTTTTTAAAATATTATATTTATTGTAAAAATATAATTTTAAATTTCAGATCAGATTATTATCAAATTGAATCAAATAAATACAGATTTGATCAATTTAATAAATATGTTAGCTGATTCGAATCATAATCAAATTTAGATTAAAAAAATAATCAAATTCATTTAATTACATCAAATTTTAATTGAATTTGAATCAAGATCCGATCTATTTGCAATCCTATTTGTACTCTAACAAATCGCACCTGAATTTATTATTAAAAGCATCATGTTATACGCCTAACAAAATCGAAATATTTTGTCACATCAGATATAAAGTTAGCAGGTTCCATAGGCGATATTTACCAATATGCCTAATTCAATTAATGCTACGAGTTTTAGCTACAGAATCCAAGCTGCTGCATAAATTGGCCTTGGATCGCTTGCACTCCTACTGTATTGTGGCCCATGCAGAATTTCTTTTATGTTTCATCTACTTTGCTCAATTTCACCTATGACATTTCTAGGCCTCTAAAGTTCATATGGGCCTTCAAGTGGAAAGCATGTTTGGGCTTCTTCTAACTTCTACGTATTCAAAATTTTGTGGAACGGTTGATTGTTCTGTTCAAAAAGAGAGTGATTGGTGGTTTCGAGTTAGCTTTGGTAACATTTAAAAAACAAAGAAATTAAAGTGTGCATGCACGCATTTATCTGTCATATAACACTGTTGATCATGAAGGAACTGAAAGTCTAATTATTTGAATGAACACTAGTTTTCTTATTGATGCCGTAAATAATATTAGTGCATTTGCTACCCTTATAGACGAGAAAGACTGAGTCGATGATAATATGGTTTTAAATATGTTTTCCTACATGATCATATTGTCTTGGTAAAAAATGGAAGAGAGAATCAATGGTTGCTAGTAGAGCCAGTGAATCTGTGAAATTATTTACTCATCCAAACATAGGTTTGGAGGCATTTACCCTAGATACCACTAAATCACAAGATTCTCATTAATTTGACTTCTTCAGATTCTATTTCCTTCCTATTGACTCCCATTTATATAAAACCTTCTACAACCAAATAAATTAATACTTTAAGGTAAAATTAACTTTCATTGGCTTTGTAATGCATATGAAATGCGAGAGAACCTAAAATGAAATCGTTCGTTGGTTGCGATAGTCAAAAAGAGACTTGAAATCACTAGAAAAAAGGAATGGCTCGGGAATTGATTTAGTCCCAAGTATTTTTTCATATATTAGATGGACTAAAATCAAAAAGAAAATAGGCTAATTTTGGGTTAGAGTCACCACATAACAAGTTTGGGAAAGTTCTAATGCCAATTATAATTAAAAGTGTTTTCTTATTCAATATATATATATATATATATATATAGTTAAAGAGTTGGTATAACAAATTAATTGTATTTCAATGTATAGATAGAGTCCTAAGTGTCACGGACTTGACCTTTCTCAAGCCCACGTGCGGCGTTTGGCTCACTTCTCTCTAAGTCAAATCAAGTCATCCTTCTCCATACAAAGTTGTCACGCAAGAAAGACACATACAAGATATAAAAGAACTCTTTGTATTCCTCTCCCTAAAGCTTACAACTCAAAGATTAGATTTCTAAACGTCTAGATGTCTTGGCCAAATGAAAGCCTCGCCTATTTATAGTCATCCACCTCTTCAATGGATAGTTAAGATCTATTTGATCTAATGGCTACAATTGACTCTCTAGAATTATCCTATCTAGATATTTCTATCTAGATATTTATAAGGAACTCTTTAGATACGTACATGCTAGAATAATAAGGGATTCTTTAGAATTCTCTAAGACATGTTTAGACGTCTCTTGGATATCCTCGAGGCTTCTCCATTGATTCATACTCTTTTAGAGGCTTCCGGACTTATCCAGGCGTTCCCAATAGCCTCTAGAAAAATCCATTTTTTGAACGAGGCGTAACATTCTCCTCCACCTAATTTGGCAACGTCCTCGGTACGCCTTCACTATATTCTTAGACCTTCCGTGCAAATTGCCTCGAGGCTTCGGCGGAGTTCTCGGCTAGCCTCACTTTCTTGTAATCCCTTCCATTTCACATAATACTCTTTCCTTGGTGGCAATCCACAACATCTAATTGTGCGATCATTAAGTATGAAATCAACTTCTTTGTTATATGAGTTAACCATTTCGTAAGTGTTCTAAGAGAAACTCCTTGACTTCGATCCTCCTCATTGGCATGGTATGGCTTCGACAAACTAACATGGAGCATCGAATGGATCTTCGACTTTGGTGGCAACTCTAGACTATAGGACACCTCTCCCACCTTGTGCACTACCTCAAATGGTCTTTCATATCGACGTATAAGGTCTTTGTGCACCTTTTGAAATGCCTTATGTTGTTGTGGCAACAACTTCACCATCACTTTGTCATATGGTTGAAAGGCGACATCTATCTTTCTTTTTTTTTTGTCGCCCACTTCTTTATCTTCTTAATAGCTTTATTCAAATACATTTATGTCAAGTCTACCTAATCTTGCCATTCTTTGACCAATGAATATGCATTTGGACCGCTTCTTTAGTATTTGTCACCAAGCACCATCGTATGTGGAGCAAGAGGTCAGCTGGCCCATCACTATCTCGAATGGACTCTTGTTAGTACACTCAATCATTTACAAGTTGTAGGAGAATTGGACAACATCTAGCAACTTAACTCAATCTCACCTGGTTGACACTCATAAAGTGCCTTAAATATGTCTCCAATAAGGAATTAACCATCTCGATCCGTCCATCCGTCCGAGGATGAAAACTCATGGAGTAATACGACTTCAAACCTAGCAACTTGAATATCTTAATCCTTAGCTTCCCGAGTGAATCGAGGATCTCGATCATTGATTATATGTCGTGGCATACCCCAATGCTTCATCACATGTTTGAAGAGTAGTTTGGTGGTCTTTTTGATCGTCACATCCGTTGGGATTGGTGTGAAAGTGACATATTTAAAGAACTTGTTAATGACTATAATAATGCTCCCAAAGTTCTCCGATTTCAGCAAAGCCCACTATATAGTCTATGGTGATTGTCTCATAAAGCCTCTCTGCGACAAGCAAAAGCTACACTAGACCCCTTGACACTCGATTTTCAAGCTGTCTTGTTGGCACACCAAGCATATTATGACATAGGACTCTACATTATCGCACAAGCTGTGGCAAAAAATATGTTCCCTTTAGTAAGGCTCCAGCGTGTTGTTGTCCTGGATGTCTAGCCTACATCAAGTCATGGCATTTCTTCATCAAATCTCATCGAATATTTCCCTATTTAAGCACATAAATTCTCCTTCCTTTTATGTAAAAAAGGTCATCCTCCTCCTAAAATTTTTTAGTCTTGTCATCTCTTACAAGGCCCAACAAACTCTTAGCGAGTGAGATCATGCTCTATTCTTTTCTTAATTCTAACCACGATTTCCCTATCCACCTTTGTCAAATGATGCGGCTTAGCCTTTCTACTAACTACATCGGCCACCATATTGGTCTTATCCGGTTTGTACTCAAAGGCATAGTCATATTCGATAAAAAAAACCTTGCCATTAAGCACTGCTTCGGTGTCAACTTCTTTTAAGTTTGGAAGTAACTTATGGCTACGTAATCTATCTTCACTACAAATCAAGACCCTATCAAATAGTGCTTCTAAGTATGTAAGCAATGCACCACTACAATTATCTCCTTCTCTTACATCGAATATCAATATTTAATGTCATTTAGCTTCCTTCTCTCGTAAGCTATGGGATGTTTTTCCTATATCAACACACCTCCTATAGCAAAATCAAAAGCATACGTGTGTACTCTTATGGCTTGGTTAGGTCGGTCAAGCTCAACACCGGCTCCTTAGTCACAACTTACTTTAGTTCCTTGAAAGCTTTTTAGCATCGT